AGAATTGACATGGCTAGGACTTGGTTCAAGTATAGGAGATAGAGAGCTCCTTACACTATAGTGCGCACTAGGGGAAGGTACACATGGGTTAGTAGCCCTAAAGTGATCCCAAGAGTACGGTTTTAATTCAGGCGATATCCGAGTTTTCACATTGGTTGATTTCACTCTTTAAATTTCAAGTTGCTATTCCTTGAAGATTTAAAACTTTTCGTGTTATGTGAAATGCGCCAATCTTGTTTCATTGTATAGATTTTATGCTTCATCCGTGATTTCACTCCTTAAATTTCAAGTGTTGTATTCCTTGAAGATTTAAGACTCTTTTCGTGTTATATGGAAGATTTCATCCTTGTTTAATTGCATAGATATTATGCCTTGTTCTTGATTTCATATATAACTCTTGTCGTGTTAATTGGAGTGTTCCAATCATGTTAATTGTATTGATAATGTAATTCTTGTTAACTTATATCCAAGTATTCTTCTTGTCTTGTTAATTGGAATGTTCCAATCATGTTAATTGCATTGATAATGTGATTCATGTTAACTTTTAAACTTGTCGTGTTCTTTAGATTAACCCAACCTTGTTCAATTTCATAAACATCGTGATTTGTGTTGCTTCATGTTGATATGAATTAGGAATGATCCTATATAATCATCTTGACTTAGATTTTAGGTGACATGAACCGTTTCAGTAGTTATCACATTCTAGGTTAAAAGTTGATGACTTTGGTTACCTATGTCTTGTTGCGTTACACTATGTGCCCTTATGTCGTTCAAATTGCATGAGTAATGTGGTTTATGCTAGAAATATTCTAAAGTAACATAGGATGCTCCCTGAGTCTCACTTTGACATAGACGTTAGGTGGCATGAGCCCTTTTGACATGTTTCACCTTAAGGTGATAAATTTGTAAAATGCTAGGTCTATGCATGCTCATCTCCTACGAGTAGCTTTATGTTACTCACCCCAAAGTTACTGGGGATTTGTTTTAGGTACGAGTACTTGGTTCGTGATGCTCATCATTCCTTAGATGATTTGTAGACTTGAAGGTTTCAATTCTTGTAAAGGTTGGCTTGAAATGCCATTTGTAGCCTTTTTTTTTTTGTCAAATGTGTATATTTGATTCCAAACTTGTAATGTGTGCCTAAGCACACTTTTTGATGCTTATTTCGTGTATATGATATGTGGCTAAGGGCCGAACTTCATTTGAAATCCATGTACATTGAAAAATGTAGAATTTTGCCCTTAATGAGAAAAATATGAAAATTAGGGTTTTAACATGTCATTTTTGCATTCATTTACCATGTATGAGGTGTGGCCTAGGGCCAAACACCATTTTGTTTTCACTTTTGTATTCTTGTTTCACATATTGCATTTTCGGGCTAAATAGTAAAATCCGAGCCTTTAAAGGTTCAATTTCAAGTCGGGTGGCGTAAAGTGTGTTCCGGCACATTCACTAGGACCTATTTTATATGCATGAAGTGTGGCCAAGGGCCAAATGGTCATTTGAAACCATTTTATAATTTTGGTTTTCACATTTTCCATTTCAAGTTCATTTTTGCCTTTTTGGCCGTTGGGGGGGGGGGTCGGATTTTGACTCGGCCATTTTTAGGAGTCGCGGACCATTCCCCTGTGCTCAAAATCACTATTTACAGTTGGTTGCATGATCATTTTCATGAAAAACTCTTTCGTGAGTGAAATGAGCCCCCTATGGACTCATTTCACATTTTTTCTTGCATAATTCGGTTCAAGGGCATTTTGGGAATTTTTTTTGGGAAATAAATTCCGTTCTCAACTTCGTCACATAGAAAATGTGATTTTAGGGGGAGTTTCTTCACGACATTTTTCTGAAAAATGTCATCTTGATCTCAAAAACCGCGTTCCAAACTCAATTTTTTTTGCATTTCTACTGTTTCTGCTGCTTTCTACTGTTTCTACTGCTTTCTATTGTTTCTGTCAAGGTTGAATTGGTTCAAGAATGTTGAACCGGTTCAAGGTGCAAAAATTGGTCCAATATGGATGTTCTGTCCATGTTGAACCGGTTTAAGAATGCCGAACCGGGTCAAGTCCTCCAGATCCTGTTTGCAAGTTCAGCTTTGGTCTTCCAACTTTGAACTGTTGTAACTTATTCATTTCAACTCTGAATTGGTCCGTTCTTGAGTCCAAATTGACCATGTTAAAATAAGCTGTCCAATGGTACCAATTTTAGTTTCAGTTTCTTCTCCTAGCTCGAGATATTCTTGTTTTAGTGAGAGGGTAACGGATTTGGTTCAAACCGGGATAGGGTTCATTTGGGTTTTCACTTCCTTTAGCCTTGGAACTTCATGTGAAGTTACTAAATGATGTTTTTGCCCTCATTTGACTTGTTGGAAGTTAAATTCCTTCTTCTTAGGGCAAAATGGTTATTTTACCGTTGGTCCTTCTTTCGGTAGGGTTTTGATACCCTTGTCTTCGTTTTATTTCCGTTGAGCCTTGAAACTATTTCAAAGTTCATTCTTGTGTCCTAGGGATAACATACATCTCTATGGACTTGTTTTCATTTTGCTTCCGCATTCTGGATCCGCTTCGGGTCATCACAGGACACACTGGGTTGAAAAATCTAGGGTCGTGTCAAATCACTATCAATCGCAAGGAAGTGCGATCATTTGTAATGCCATGTTAGTGCCAGCTCAGTGGATAAGGCCGCTAGTTGTCGAGATAGTAATGCTACGTCAGCACGATCGATTGCGAATATTCACGATCGATCATAGAATTCCACGCTCGATCGATCATGATTGGCCTGGTAGTGAGCTATTTTATTCTTGGCTTTGCCCGATCTTCACCTACCAAAGGGCTGCGAGATTGAATCATTTTGGGGCCAATTTCTAACTTGTTTTGCACTCCAAGGAGCTTGTTTAAAAGGGGAAATGAACCACTTTGTAAAGGGTTAGCTAATTTTACATAGAGATCAACTTTAGTTATTAGAATTCTCTCTCTTGAATTAGGGTTTTGGGGAAGAAAAGAGACAAGAACATCAAGATCTCTAGGGTTTTTACCAAGAAGACCAAGAAGAAGAAGATGGAGCCATGTTTGGAGATTGCCCTTGAGGGTTCCAAGATCACATCCACCTCCTCCATGAGTAGCTAGACACCATCTTAGGGCTTGGATGAGCCCTTGGCTTGTAATCTAAACCCTACTCTTTAACTTTTTGGGGAATTAATGTTGTAAATGATGCTTTAGCCTTGTATATATGATGAAATTTGGGTTTTCCTATGATTTCTTTGGTTAAATTCTTCCTAATAATTCTCTAGATTGGTTACATGTCTATGTGTGATTAATTAAGAATTTAGTGATGGCTATGCATGGATTTCACTAGATGCATTTGTTGATTAATTTGATGGATTATGCTTATGCTTGATGGATTGTATCACATCTTTAGTTTAATTGCTTTAAATTCATTGTCTTAGCTTAATTGTAGTTTAATTGTATTTCAATTCTACTTAGGTAGACAATCCATGGTTGAATTTGATAATTCATGGCTTATTGTTGCAAATTGCATTATTCTCTAGATTGAGGTGTGCTACAACTGTTGATTAATTTGATGGTTTATGTTTAAACTTGATGAATTGCACTACAATTTAATCATGTTTGTAGTTAGATAGACAATTCATGCTTGATCTTGATGGCCATGCTTATTATTGCAATTAGTAGTCATATTTGGTTTACAAAATAATTTTCCCCAATTAAATGAAGACTTGTGATTTAGTACATAAGCTTAGTGGTGATTCCTATGCCCTAAGACTCCTCTCCTATCTCTTTCAGCCTAATCATTTTAGTTTCATTACATTGCATGTTTCAAAGTTCGATTTTAATCAAACCAAACCAACTCTCTTTACAATCTCATTAGCACTAAAGTTCGATTTGATTCCAACACGTGTTCAATCTCTTGGGATGATCCCTTCTCATTATATTTCATTGTATTAGTGTTAAGTGGCTTTTATAAATTTTAAAAGGTGAAGCCCACTTGACATTCTCTAAAGTAGCACCATTTTTGTGCACACGCACGGGAAGCATCACGTTTTTGGCGCTGTTGCCGGGGATTGACGGTTTAGTTGGAATCGAATTAAGCATTAGGGCTTCTTTGATTGCTTGCTTTAATTTTCATATTTTTATTTTTACTTTTCTTACTTGTTACTCTTGTTCAATTAGGTATTTGAATACAAGGAAAATAAGTATTGGATTTTGACATTATTGCTTAGGACCTTTGTGAGCAAGTTTTGAAACACTTGTAGCTTAATTGTTCTTTGCTCTACGCTTGAGAAACAGCCCTTGTCGAGGCTAATTGCATTGTTAAATTTCTTGTCCAAGCATGTGCCCTTGTCGAGGCTATTTACTTAATTGTTGAAATCATAGGTCCTTGTCGCGGCCATTAATTTATTGCATTAATATAACATAGGAGTATGGGAACATCGTATCTGGAGGTTGTGAATTGTTGTTGATTGAAGTTGTTGGTGTGTTGACTAATTATAGTGCAATTCTTTCCACTCTTAATCATCACATCACTCCAATGGAAGACCAAAATATGAATCTTGGTTATCTAGACCCCAATATAATCCAACAACCTCCTCTAGGTCAAATTCCTCCCAGAGTTCAAGCTCCAAATCCTCAAATGGTCATTTGTGATCATTACACTCCTAATGTATACAATGCACCAGCATGCATCCAATTACCAAATTTTAGGGCCAATCATTATGATATTAAACCCTCGACCATTCAAATGTGTCCTATTTTTCATGGGTTGAGCAATAAAGAACCCTACAAACATTTGGATGAGTTTCTAGGTGTTTTCCACCGTAAAAATCACGGATGTCCCCGAAGAAGTTTTAAAAATGAAGCTCTTTCCTTTCACTCTTCGGTACAAAGTTAAATATTGGTTTAACAACTTAGGGCGAATATTATAACATCATAGGCTTAATTGCAACAAGAATTTCTAAAAAAGTATTACCCCGTAAGTAGAACTAATTCAATGAGAACTTTAATTCGTGAGTTTACCCAAGACGATGGAGAACCCTTACATGAAGCATGGGAGCAGTTGAATGACTTGCTACGGAAGTGCCCACATCATGCACTTCCCAAGTGCAATTGGTTCAATACTTCTGTGAGAGCTTATCCAATACCAACAAAGGTATGGTTGATACTTTATGTGGAGGTTCATATTTAGAAAAAAATGAGGATGACATTTGGCGCCTCTTTGAGAATATGAGTGAGAATTCAATGCATAAATCTCAATCCTCTCGAGTAAGTCGTAATTCTAATGTAGGTTGGAAGAAAAACTCAAACTTGTGTTAAGTGGAGAGTTCAATGGAGATTGTTGCCGAGGTTAAAACTCTTACCCAAAGGCTTGACCAATTCTTGTTGAGTCAAAAATTGGTAATTCAATCATCTTACTCTTCCCATCCTCAAAATGAAATGTGTATGGCTTGTTCTAGTTACAATCATAATACTTCCAATTTTCTCAAGGACAAGCCTTTTCAAGTGAACAACAATAATAAGTTAATGCCACATTCGCTCATCCCTACTCCAATGCTTATATTCTGGAATGGAAAGAGACTTTAAACTTTTCTTGGAGAAATCAAGGAGCCGGTTCAAACCCTCCTCAAAGTCAAAATTTCCAAGGAAAGTATGTACTTTTTCACCTTTAAAATGCAAATTCTCAAGGGTACCACCCTCCTTTCTGTCCCCATCAAAATGTGAATCACTATTCTCATCCTCAAGCTTCCAATTCTCAAGCTTACTATCATCAATCTCAAACACCTCCTAGGAGTTCCACCTTTGAGGACAAGGTTTTGGTAGCCTTAGGTGGCTTAGAAGCAAACAATCAATTGTTGCACTCTCATTCTTAATCCATCTCAAAGCTTGAATCCAAAATCGGGAAAATAGCTAATTCTATGAATGCGAGAGAGAAAGGTAAGTTGCCTAGGCAACCCGAGACCAATCCCAAGGTACACTACATGGTGGAAACAACTCCTACATTGGGATTTCCTCCACATGAGCATGTGCAAACTATAACCACATTGAGAAGTGGTAGGCGAGTGGACAATAGGGTAGAGAGACCAAGTGAAGTTAGTGAACCGGTGCAACCAGGTGGTTGCCCCCGTCCCATTCCAAACCCAATTCCTATTTCATTGGATGTAAGTGGTTCCAAAAAGAACCTTCCATCATCATCATCATCATCTCCCTAATTAGAGAAGCCTTATGAGCCAAAAGCTCCATTCCCTCATGCTTTGATAGAAACTTCACCATTTGGGAGACAACAGGGAAAAATCCATGACATGATGGAAGTTTTCAAACAAGTTAAAATCAATCTTCCTCTTCTAGATGCTATTAGGTAAATTCCACCATATGCAAAGTTCTTGAAGGACTTATGTACTCAAAAGAGGAAGAGCAAGGAACAAAGCCCTAAGAAAGTGCTCTTCATGGAGTAAGTGAGCTCCATCCTCCTACATAACACTCCTCTTAAGTTCAAAGGCCCCGGTACTCCAACCATTTCTTGTGTCATTGGGAACCATGAGGTTCGTAGGGTTCTTCTTGATTTAGAGGCAAGTGTTAACCTCATCCCTTACTCCGTGTATATGCAATTAGGATTGAGTGACTTAAAGCTAACTTCGGTGGTACTCCAATTAAGGGTGATAAATTCTACTTTCCGGTTGATTTTGTTGTGCTAGATATCAAACCGGTTTCAAACCTACCAATCATATTCCAATCATCCTAGGAAGATCATTCCTTGCCACCACTAATGCAACTATTAATTGTAGGTCTGAAATTATGGACATCTCTTTTGGCAACATGATGGTTAAGCTTAATGTGTTCAATGCAAGTCAATATCTTATCGATGAAGATGAGTGTTTCCTAGTTGATGTCTTGGATGAACTTGTGGAAGAGTCTCTTCCTTTAATGCTTTCAAAGAACCCTCTTGAGGAGAACCTTTCCTTTATTCCTTCCAAGGATCCTCTTGAGCCATGTCTTTAAGAAATGTATGGCAATTGAGGTTTTGACAATGAAGGATCCATAAGCGAAGTAAATGCTTTGATGGACTCCGTGGCCACCTTGGACTTCCCGCCATGGAAATATTCAAAAGAACCTTATCCTCCACTCTCTAGCACTCCACTGGTTCCATCCCTCATCTCTCTACCCACTCTTGAGCTTAAATCACTCCTTTCTAGGCCCCAAAAGAGACTCTTCCAGTCATCATTGTTTTGAACCTTGAAAAAGACCAAGAGTGATCTTTTGGAAGTGCTTAAATAGAATAAGGAAGCCATCGGATGGAGTGTAGCCGACCTAAAAGGAATTGACACTTCCATATATATGTATCGCATTCTTATGGAGGAGAATGAGAAACCCTTTAGAGATACTCAAAGGAGATTAAACCCAGATATAAAGAAAGTGGTCAAGAAGGAGGAAGTGAAACTATTAGATATAGGGATCATTTACCCTATCTTCGATACCAAGTGGTGTGACGACCCTGGTTTTTCAAGCCAGTGCGTTCTGTGATGAACCAAAGATTGACCCGATAGCGGATCTAAATGCGGAAGCAAGAAACAAAACAACAGTCTCCCAAGGCACAACACACCTCTAAGACACTTTGATGACCTTCCATGAGGTCATGGAACTCAAAGAATCAAATGCGGAAGCTAAGATAAAAAAAAAAACAATTAAGCCCCTAGGGGCAAAATAGTCATTTCTGAAACTATGGATTCAGGTGCCACCGAGCACACCGTTGGAAAGACAACAAAAAACTAATTAAGATGGACTCAAGAATCGCATGATTCGGAGTCCAGATGAAGGAGAAACGGCAAGACGAAGAAAAATGAGCACTTAAGGCTAAAAGGGTAAACTGGTAATTATCCAGGAAGATTCGGGACAACCGAGCAACCGTTGAAAAGACAGCAAAAAATTAGTCAAGTTCAAAAAAAAGTTCACTCGATTTGGAGTCCGGACGAGGGAGAAACGAGGGTTTGAAGTTGAGACGTCGCGGCGGCTCGACGAAGGCCATGGTAGCCCCATGCGCGTGCCCACCGGCGCTCCATGAAGCGCCCAATGGCATGCACATGCTGAAAGCAAGGGTCCAAAGCAAATTTTCCAGAACTGAGGCTTGAAACGGAGGTCGAAACGAATTTTTCTGGAAAAATATGAAAAAGAAACCCCCCCTAAAATCAAGTTTTCTACTCGAAAATATGGAAGGAAATGAAAAAAATACACTAAAAAATCCCCAAAATGCCCCTAGATCAGAAGAGGTTAAGAGGGCAAAAAGTTGCTACAGTAACTGTCCTGATCTGAGAGCAGAAACGGGCTATCAAACGAATTTTTATGGAAAAACACGAAAAAGAAACCCCTCCCAAAATCAAATTTCTACCCGGCAGCGAGGGAGAAAATGAAAAAAAAAATACTGTGAAATGGCCAAAATGCCCCTAGATCAGTAGAGGCTTAAAAACTCAAAAGTAAATCCATAGAGTACTCATTTTGTGAAATATGACTCTAAACTTGAAAAATATCATGCACGCAAACGTAACTTACCTAATAGGACGTGCTCCAATGGTCCACAATTTAAAAATACCGCCGATGCAAATTTTGACCCCCCGACGGCCAAAAAGGCAAAAATGAATGAGAAATGGGAAATTTGAAAACCAAAATTAACAAATGATTTCAAATTACCATTTAGCCCTTGGCCACACTTCATATATGATTAATGATATCCTATGAAAGAATAAAAATAAAATTCCCACACCCGATGCAAACATAATGAAGCAAAGACTTGTCATTTTTCAATATTTTCATAATATTTCATGAAGTTGAAAGTTACATATGATACAAACTAGATACCATTGGCCTATGGCCTCATCTTATACATGTCAAATGCATTATAAAGAGTGTACTCATGTACACATTACATGAATGGAATCAAAAAATACAAGTTTTGACGTATAAGGCTACAAAATGATATTTCAAGCTAACATTTGCATGAAATGGAAACTTGAAAGCTACAAGTCATCCAAGGAATGATGAGCATCATGAACCAAGTCTTCATACCTAAAACAAATCCCCAGTAACTTCGGGGTGAGTAACATAAAGCTACTCGTAAGAAATGAGCATGCATCGACCTAGCATTTTACAAGGTTATTACATTTACAAGAAGTAATTCAAGGATTATGCTACCTAACATCTATGTCGTAAGTAAGACTCAAGGATCATCCTAAACTACTCATGCAATTGAAACGAATAACGACATACAAGTATACATACTCAGGTATACAAAATGATGCTAAAACATGATATACAACATATAAGCATTCATTTCTAAGTATACTAAACCATATTAAGACAAGTCATGCAATGTCTAAGTATATTCACACAAATGTACATTTAATATGGAATCTCGTATATCAACTACACGACACAAGTACACTAAATGCTATTTAAACTCATGGAACAAGTATACAAGTTCAAGTATACTAAACAAGATTCAAATACCTAAAGCAAATATCAATTCTCAGGCTACAAGTAATCCATGATTAATAATTTGAAATTAAACGCAAAATCAAATAATGGAAAAACTAGGACATGCGGTCGCTAGACCAAGCAAGTATTTTCGGGTAATTACGACCCACAAGGTACCACTAGGGATGGCAAAAAACGGGTTTGGAGAACCGTTTAGTTAAATGGGGTGGGGATGGGGATTTAAAAGAAAAAACCGGCCGATTTTGGGGCGGGGACGGGGGAGTCTAATCCCTGCCCCGAACCCGCCCAGCAACCGCCCCCGATTAGTAGATAAAATTATTAATTTACACCTACCATATTATTATATTTACCAAATTAACCTACACTATATATACACATGTTGTAAACCCTAAACTCAATTCACTTCCCATATTCCTCCTAATGACAGGAGGCGGCACTAATAGATCTGACGAAAGAAAAAAAAAAATTACCAAGGAGGACGAAGCAACTAGCAGGTACTCGGAACTCCAACCGTCCTACACTCCCTCCTGCTTCATTTACCATCTTCATCTACTGCTTCAGCCGACATCCACCTGTTTTTACAAGTATTTTTCTTTTCTTGTTGGATGATATGT